AAATGGCTACCATCTCCCATTGTTTTCTAAGGAACAGCAAAGATGGCCAATATTCTTGTGTATCTGCTCTCCATCTGTTTCTCCTTGCATCCTGATAGCAAAGATATCACCTGCTCTTGGTAGTTTGTCTTCTTTCCTGTTGGGAATGGTGAGAAGCAATGGGCCATTTTGATAAAGGGCACCTCTTCATGAGCTTCTCTGAAGGAGACAGATTTATGTACCAGTCTCTGATATAATATAAGCTTTCGGTTATGAAAATACAAACAAAAACACGACAGAATGAATCCAAAGTATTCATTTTCCAAATCTATTCATTGTGCTGGATTCAACAGGGAGGGCAAGAGCAGTAGGAAACTCACTGTATGTGGTTGTGAATGTTCAGTAGTAAAAGGAAAGCAGTAAAATAGGAATGGGGCAGGGCATATGTGCCAGGGAGTATTGGGAAGAGAAGGCATGGGGTTGTAGCTGTGTGCAAAGGAACAGGGAAGAGAGGGAGGGAGGGGAAGCTGGTGTTATACCCTGGTGGCCTGGCAGAGCAGCTATACGCTCAGTTTGCAGGCCAGTGTGCTCTAGCTACTGGTCTCAGGTGTGACAAACTGCGGGTGTTGTTGAAATATTTCTTTGTTAAATGTGTCTGTGTTATTATGATGCTTTTGCCTCAGTTTACCTACAGAGTTAGTCCATGGGGAAGAATGGGTTGAGGAGACAGTGAAGCTAGAGTTGCTGGTCTACATGACTAGGGATAGATATTACACATACACTGGTCTAAGTGATCAGAAACTGGTTTAAACCTGTAACAGAACAGATGTTCAGTGCATATAAACTAGTCTGAAAATGGCTGAAACCAGTTTGAGATAAACCTGGTTGAATGTAATCAGACTGAACTGATTTGACTCAAACTGGTTTATGCAATGTCTGTCCCAGACACTTTGCTGGTTTAAGTTAAATCGGAGTCCCCCAGCATCCTGCCATGCTCTCTGGGCTGGGTGGAGCTCTCTGCTCCACAGCAGGGCTGGCCTTTCCCCTCTGCTCCCTGGCTGGAGCTTGACACAGCCTTGCAGGCACAGCAGGGTCTGGAGGCTTCCCTGTGCCCCCCTCTCCCCACCTCCTTCACTACTCGCTGCTTAAGAAGAGATCTCTTCCTCCTCTCTGCCACAGCACAAACCATAGCCAGCATGTGGTATGCTAGCTATTGCCAAGAGGTATCTGTGTGTATGTCTCTCTCCAATTTTACTGTGACAGGCAGACAGAACAGTCACCACTTAGGGCTTTTGGAGCTAATCAACAGTTCAGCCAGTAAGCTGCTTAAGAGGTTTGAAGTAATGTGGAGGGAGGCTATTGTTTTGCTAATCAGGTGATAAAGACTGTTATCAGCCTCCATCTCCCCCCACTCCCCCGCTTGCTCACCTGTCAGTTTGCTGCAGACAGTATAACAAAGCAGGGAGGGAGATTGAAAAGCAGATCAACAGATGCATGCACTGCACACCCCACCTTGCCTCAGAGTGCTAGCCCGGGGCAGGCGGCTGCCAGCTCTCCTGCCCCTTGAGCAGCCAGCGGGGGAAAGCCTGGGACCATGCAGGCAGACCTCCCCAATGGGAGAGTCCTGCTCGGGGCCTGGTCATGTCCCCCTCAGCTTCACTCCTTGCAGAAGGGAAGGGAGGGCTAGTCTAGCACCCCCACAACTTCTAGTCTGAGCCACTGGAAGCATGTGCCTGAATTTCCTCAGTGCAGAGGGAATGTCTGTCTGGTTACAAACACTGATTTAGCCTAGCCAGGTTAGACTAACCTGCAAAGATTGAATCAATTCAGGCTCAGGCTTTTTGAATGTCTGTCCCTAGCCCATGAGAGAAGACACATCTGTCTATAGTGACTGTAGTAGCTTTGCTGATAGTTTCACAAAGGTGGGGATTACAGCTAACACCTAGGAAGAAGAGTCACTGAGAAAAAAAAGTGCCAATGGACACAGCAGGGATGAGCAAGCAGAGTGTTGTCTGAAGAGGGAATCTGAAGATGGAGACCAGCTGAGCAGTTTTGGGGCTTAGGAGACAGGCACACTGCAAAGGGAACAGCTAAGTAACTTAAGGGTGCTCAGGGCTGTGCAGGATGGACTGAGGGCAGGGGGACTGTTTAACCCTTTAGTGAGGGGCAGAGAACCTTTGCCCAAATAAACACCTTTATTCCACAGGAGCTGCCTGCTTTGCTGCTTGGAACTGGTTGGGTTGCACTTGTTTTCTCCAACAATAGGTAAAGCCCTTCTCTCAGGAGAGGAACGGGAGATGCTGGCTTCCTGAATCAGGGCCACAGAGAACCAGAGGATGGGGGACTGAATGGCTAGGGTCCTAGAGTGGGAAGGAGCCAGAGCTCCCCGACTGCTCTAAAAGGCACATGCGAGCTGGCTTCAGGGGGCACTCAGAGACCAGAGTTGACCACAGTGGTCCCAAGCAAGCGCCTTCCTGGGGGGACTCCATGACACCAAGTCAGAATCTGACCCTACAATTAAAACAACAGTTTAAAAGTGATACTATATATCTTCACTAGGGATGGCAGATGGCAACATTGCTTTTGGGTCACTTATTTAGATTTATAGATTAAGTTTAATCTTTTTTTTTTAATCAAGGAAATTCTCAGATAACAACAACATGATTAATAAAGGTTGAGAGCAAATGTCAATAAATTGGGATAGAATTTTTTACAGGGTTGTTAGGTATCCAGGTTGTAGCCATATTGGTCTAGAGGAAAAAGCAATCAGGGCTTGTGGGAGAGATTTTTTTTATTAGACCAACTAGATTTTTGCAAAAAAAATCTTTAATTGCAAGCTTTTGGGCACAAACACCCTTCATCGGGCATCAGAGAAAAGATGGTAAAAGTTCTCCAGTTCTACCCAGGAGAATCTTTACCATCTTTTCTCCAATACTTGATGAAAAGTGCTTGTGCCTGAAAGCTTGCAATTAAAGATTTTTTTTGCAAAAATCTAGTTGGTCTAATAAAAGATATCACTTCTACCACAAGCCCTGATTGCTGTTTACAGGGATTTTGTAATTTTCTCCCAAATGGACTGGAAACTCTAAAATAGTTGCAAGCAATCCAAACACGTTAGGCTCTAACTATGCCAGTTTAAGGGACCAAAGCTGCCTTAACACAACCTTGTAGTGAAACTAGGAGGAAGAACAAAAAATGTAATGTGTCTTTGGAAATTGGTTTTTATCTAGTCTGGGACCACAATACCTTAATCATAACGAGATGGTTATTGCATCAAGTCACTACAGAGCAAGCTAAGGTTGTGGGTGTGTGCACAGATGGTACCAGTGGGTGAAGAACGTGAGTGTTCCCAGGCCATCTGGGTCTGTGGTGAGAAGAGATGGACAGGTCTTTTTTTACAAGGTGGCTAGGTGTTTCCCTTCCAAACAAGAGCACACCAATCTGGGATTCAAAGCCAGAACCATGGGGGCTAGCATGAATTGTCCAGCGGGGGTTGTTGCTACTGTATGCTAATGTACTGCAAGTCTAGTTACCTGGGATGGTCTCATTGGGTCCAGTGCAAAAGACCTTTTTAACAGGGTCTCCATTGATGGTAAATTCTTCCTTGCATGTTCCATCAGCTAGTGTTGGTTTCACATACACAAATGGCTCTTGATGAATTGTCACGATCTGTGGTTGAAACAGAAAATGATTGTTTGTGTCCATGACTGAGCTGTCTCTATCTTCCCATTCCCAGAGAGCTGAGTGGAACACGTAACATGCCTCGACGCAATAAATAATGTGTTCACAACCGTTTAATGGCCAGGCTCCCATTATACCAATAACCACTCATAGGTTTGGCCTAAGGATTCACATACCATGAAGGAAAGCTCAGTTATGATAGCACACTGTGAAGTGATTTGAAAGTAAAGACAAGAATTTTGTTTGCAGAGGTCTCTACAATACAAAATAGTAGCAATGATAATAATAATAACACCTATTTCTTTTCTTACATAGTGTTTTTCAACTATAAATTACAAAGTACTTTACAAAAGTGGTCAGTGTGTTCTCCCTATTTGAAAGATGGGAAAGCTGAGGGGGAGGAAGGCAAAGAAGCTTGCCTGATGTCACCTAGCAATCCAAGGGCAACAGAATAGAGAGCAGGTGTCCCAAGTTCCAGGCCAATACTCTAGTCATCAGGCCTCACTGCATCAAGCTAAATTCCTTTCACTTTGATCTAGTAACTGTACTCACCAGTCCCTTCAGACTTGTGTATGAACAGCAATGTACCCGATGAGTCTTGAGTCTGCCACTCTTTTACATGATGGCAATGGAAAGGGGCTTGGACAGCACCTGTAAATGTCCTATGATACAATATCCTCCCATTAAATGATTCCTTGATGCTATTGGAGTTGTACTGAGAGGCCTCAATGTAATTGGGAGGCAGGCTCATGGTTATCAGTCCTGTCACACTGCAAGGAGACTGGCTAGAAGATCTACTACAGCTGTGTCCCACCAACCAATTTGGATAGGCCCCTCTCTGCCACATGCTGGTACCTTCAATTTGGTTGACATCTGATAGCCTTGAGGTTTCTCTGTTTCTCCCCCTGGCCAGATGATTTTCCTGTCATTGGTCAGGACCTACAGTTGTCACCAAGAGAGAGACACATCAGAGACCTTTGCTCAAGTTCAGCCACCTGCTGCCATCTGCACAGCACATAGGGACATACGTACATGGCTGCCATTGTAAATCCCAACTTGTACCAGCTTCCGGTTCTGCAGGTTCATGATGCTGTAATTGGCAAATTTTCTGTCCCCATCCTCGTTAAACTCGACCCTCCCAGTCACTCCATCAGAGTACTTGCTGGACATCAAAACCCTACAGAGTAGAATCATGTTTAGATTTCACTACAAGTTTTCCCTTCCAGAACAGTAAATTGGCTCAGCTGGATGGTGACCTTGCTGCATGGGCAAGACAGTGAGAAGCCAGAAGGGTCTTCCATAATGACAACAAGATAAAAGACCCATCTTCATTTTTTACCTGAGGTGCTCCCTCTGAGTATAACCCCAGTGCTACCTTTGTGTTTTCAAACCTCCTTAGCTCAGCAGAAGTCACTCTGCAACTATCTTTGGAACAGATAAAGAAGACCAGAATGAACCAGTGACATGAGAAAATGTCCAGAGGAACACATTATAAATCCCTTCCTTTCCAAAGGGAGCAGAGGTGTGGTTGCCCTCTGTTTGAAACAGCATGCTCCTCTGTTATGGCTTAACCTGTCTTGCCTCATTTAGGGAAGGTAGGAATCTCTGTTAACACAGCAATAACTATTACAGCTTCTCTCTCTTGCTCATTCAACTATAAACGTTAACTTCAAAGTGCCTCAAAATATATCCCACACAACAAACCCAACTTGAGACACAGACCATATTTCACCATTTCAGCAGATACTGGTAGTGTGCTGCACTCTTGGCAGGGCCTTCATGAGAAACACAAGTGCCTATATCCTGCCTGGAAATGTGTTCAAAGGAGCCTACCATCCAACTCCATCATGGATTACATTCACTTAGCCTCTTTTTATTCCCTGATGCCCACATGCTCTTATGCATGACCTCTGCCTTGGGCACTCTAAATTTGATGAATGCTAAATCAGCTTATACTGGTGCAATTCCCATGCAGTAATGATGGGAGGAGCTAGGAACTGGGAAGGCTGTTGTGATGATCAGATGGTCTATGTATGAATGAGAATAGCTACCACATCCTTTTAGTTCTTTGCTGGTTCTGCCATGCCAACTTAGATTCCCCTCTGGGATAAAAGCCATTCTCCCCCTTCTGCCTTAGTTACATAGGTGCGTAATGGAACTGCCTGAGGATACCTGCAGGGTTGGCAAGGATGGCTCTGATTTCAGCTCTAGCTTATACAAGAAACCTACAGACCAACATACGTATCTGCAGAGAACCAGCAATCACCCGAAACACACCAAAAAAGCTGTGATATACAGCCAAGCCCTCAGATACCACCGCATCTGTACTGAAGAGAACACCCGGGATTGCCACCTCACCAATCTTAAAAAGGCTTTCACCCAACAAGGTCACTCCTCCAGAGAGGTAGATCACATGCTTGAAAGAGCCACCTGGATACCACGTGAAGAACTGCTGCAGTACAGAAGAAAACCCTCCCCAAATCGCACACCACTGGGTATGACGTATCACCCCTCCCTCGAACCCATATGGAAAATCCTCAAACAATTGCAACCCATAGTAGAAAGAGACCCTATTCTTAAAAAGATCTTCCCAGAGCCACCCATCCTAGCCTTCAAACAAGCACCGAATCTTGCTAACCTCATCACCAGAAGCAAACTTCCAATGGCCCAGAACACACCAAATGGATCCAGACCGTGCCAGGACAAGAAATGCAAAACCTGCCAACACATCTCCACCACCCCCACTATTACTACATCCCACAACAGAGCCATCAGCATCCCAGATCTTACAGCTGCACCTCCAGAAATGTGATATACCTCATCCAATGCACCAAATGCCCTGATGGAAAATACGTAGGAGGGACCAAACAACAACTGCGCACCAGAATGAATGACACTGCAAATCTATCAAAGACAAGAATATCCAATTACTGGTGGGGGCACATTTCTCACAAGAAAACCACTTTCTCTCTAATCTCTCAGTCCTGATCCTCAAGGGAAACTTACACAACACACCCCAGAGACGAGCCTATGAGCTCCATTTCATCAACCTGCTGGATACTAGAGATCAGGGACTAAACATAGACATTGGATTTTTGATACATTATAATCTGCCTGGCAACTGACTCCCCAGCCCAGCCCAGCCCCTCATCCCCTTCTCTCCCCCACCCTCCCACCCAACCTGTCTCTCACTCACTGAGAGTGCAATCTACATTTTCACTGACTGCCTATCTTGTATGCAGCCCAGCCCAGCCCCTGGCTTCTTTACTTATCATTCCTTCCAGGAAGAGCACACACCAACTGCTGAAACTTCCTTAGCCTGACGAAGGGTTTTTGAACCCGAAAGCTTGCTTAAAATTTGTTTTCCAACTATTTAAGTTGGTCTAATAAAAGATACCAGATTCACCCAAAGAACCTTGTCTGGCTGTGTCCTTAGACCAACACAGCAACAACCTACACCCCTGCTTTAGCTTTGGCATTTCTTAACTGTGACCTTAATGCTGCATTGCCATAATTGTTTGCATGACTTTGACTGACTGTAGCTCAAAGGGACTTCAATGCGTCTTCTACTGCATCATCTCCACTACAACATGTCCGACTGTAATCTCCCTATGCCTGTCCCTTCCTGTAGCTGTTGCTTGATTTCCCAAGGAATGGGTTAACCTACTCAGTAAAGTTTGCTCAGACCATTTTATTTCCTTTAAATTACCGCCCAGTCCCCTGGCACATCTCCCTTCATGTGTCACTACAGGTTAGTATATACACAGCAGCCTCCACTTGCCCTCTGGGATGTCACTGTCCCACCTTACAACATGCGTAATGCGCAAGGACTGCAGTGAGATGTGCTTGTGACCAGGGATGGTAGAACACTATCCCCAAGACTGAGTGAAAGCCCTAGGGCAATAATGGTTTTACTTTGCTGGGAAGAGAAAAAAGAATGACACGGTTTATGTTTAACACAAAGCTTTGTTACTGGAGGAAATCACTGGAAACACATTTAAAAATAAAGAGTTTGGGGTCCTGGTTCCCTGCAATTGAGATTCCACAGAGCATCCAACCTGCAAGACAGCTCAGCCCTCAGCCGCCAGCCCTGCCCCAAAAGAGGCTCAGTCCCATGGCACTGAGCGCTCACCCTTCAGAACAGTTCAGCTCCATAGCACCAGGACCCAAATCTGCAAAACCAGCTCAGCCCTGCAACACAGAGATCCAATGTTGCCAGTCTCCTTTGCTCCAGGACAACAAAGAGTACTCCTAACCCATCCCAGGCCTCTGATATAGATTTGCAGCCACCTTAAGTGTGTGCCCACAGGTCTTCTGAACTAATCTAGTGCTCCTGCTCACCCCCAAATTTTCTACCTCTCACACATTTCTGCAATTCGAAACTTTTCCCCTAGCCGTTTCCTTTACTGGTCTTCCCTGGGAACTTCTCTTTTAAGCTGACATGCTGTTCTGCAACATACAACCAGACACAGAGTGTGGGCAATGGCTCATGTACCTCTTGAAAAGGGGACCGGTCTTCCAGATGTTGGTGTTGCCCACACACCCTCTCGGAGGGTCTGTGATATTCTCCTTCTCAAACAAGTCGTGCACTGCTTGAGCTACCACAGCGACAGCGTCGCTAATGTGAGCTGACTCATTCTTCCCATTAATGAGCTGCAAACCAATCACCCCTGTGGAGGACAGAAAAAATGGCACAGGTCAGTGACACAAGGCAAAAAGATCCTCCCCCCATGTCCTCCTCATTAGGGCTCCACTAAAGCCAGATTCCTCCTTCCTAGCCATGGACTGGCAGGTTTCCAAGGGACCAGCAGACTGGATTCATGGGAGACCTACTTCCTATAAGCCTCGAGGTGGACAGGGGCAAGATTAGAGCCTGACTGCCTGCTGTCAGCCTCTTCCTGTATGAAGACAGTTTGCTCTTGTGCCATGTGTCATGAGGAGCAGTCTGGGAAGCAGGCAGCAAAAGTGACAGAAGATTTATAAAGAAGGACCAGCACTGGAACAGCAAAGCCACCCTGAGAGTAAGAGACAATACTGGCTGTACCAGCAGTATGACTGACAGAGGCCTTTTACATGGGGCAGAGCAAAGTGCTGGATGTTTGCTCTGGGCACCAGGGTTCTCCAAATCCTGTTGAATCATGGTGCAATAGCAGCTAAGCTGTTGTTGTTCCCCATGACACATCCATAAATAGAGGCCTGGTTAGAGAACATTTTTCCTTAGGACTGCAACCTGAAGCAGCTCTAATCCCAGGGGACTAGCATGACAAACGCTTTTAACTGACATTCATCCTGGAAAGCACCTAATGTGCTGGAGCTGTTACCAATATAACATACTGTCAGTAATCAGTCTGCATACAGAGCTGTTTGAGGCTACCCATTCCTGGCACCCTTCCCTCTCCCTCCCTTTCTGTGTAGATCCATGTCCTTGATGATAAAAGGGAAAAGAATGAGGATCAGGCTGAGCAGCAGAATTAAACCATTCTGGTTCTAGGACCTGTTCTCTTCCTGCTCCTGGATCTTCTGAGCATGTGACCTGCTGGTGAGGGTCTCTCTCCCACTTTCTCTGTGCGCCAATCCACACAAAAGATAAGTTGGTTACAATAGCAATAGGCAGGTGATGGTTTCTTAGCTCAGGCTATGACAGGCTGTGATTTTTGCTCCTTTGTTCCCTAGTTCACTTTCTCCACAGAGCAGACAAGGTCTCCCACAAGTACTTGTTAAAGAATGAGGTATATCAGCCCTATCAAACACAGGTCAGGGAAGGAAGAAGTGGGGAAAGCCTCTTCTAGTATAAGACCACTTTTGCCAGGCTCAAATTCCTGACTCTTCATTCTCCATGGAACTGGTTTTGTTTCTCTTTGCTCATAGTCATACGCATCCCTTGTTTGTTTCAGTGAGTCAGGAGGTTAGCCGGGGATTGACCATATTCTGGCCCTGATCCATCCTCTTAATGCTTTTCAGGCAACCCAAAGGAATGGGTAGTAGAGAGAACCCCTGGGTGGCATAAAGCTGGATCAAGAGAGCTGTAATCACTCACTTTCTGCCAAACTGTATTTTGGGCAGAGGCTGGCAGGCACAGGAGCCAGTATGGTCATTATGCTCCAGTGATCCTTAGATCCACAGCAAATAAAGCAGTTCCATGGGGACAATTTACCAGCACAGTTTAGAGCAGTCCTTAGCTGCTCTTTGTTAAGCTGGATGTAGTTCCAGCCCTTGGTTGACTGTGTCTTCAAGGATCAGGGGAACATAAAGCTTATAGCTGCTTTTATCTGTGCCAGCCCTGGGTCCTACATCAAATGCACCCCAGAGGCTCAGATGTGCATCTGACTCTAACTAGCAGGTTGTTCGCAGCACCAAAACTGACGCTTGGTACAGAACTCACTTTCCGGACTTTGTGCTGAACCCAGAATCCTTCCCCCAGCCCAGAGAGCTTGTCTGGTGGCCAGGAATGGTGTCTGCCAAACCGTGTGTTTCTCTTTGGTTTTGCCTATTCTATTTCTCTGATCCGTCCTAGCCTCCTCCCTGCAGCTGCAGTCAGTTGTTTGGTGAAGAAGTTACTATGAATCAGACAGGGCAAGGACAATCTATTTTTTAATCCTCCCTTTCCTAGGGAA